GGACTGAGCACCCCAAAACACCCACATTTCCATCCAGAAATTTTTGACCCTCAGACAACACAACTCAAACCAAATGTCAAGCATGTGTGTGGTGCTGCTTATTTCTTAACGCATTTCCTCCTGTTCCCAAATAGTTGTACCTTTAGCCATGCCTCTGCCCGCCAGGCCCTTTGCGCTTCTGTGACTGGTGCATCCCTTGTACACCTTCTGCTTGGCTCCGTTTCAGAAATGGAGAGCAGCCCATAAAATAATTTAATAACTGGTCTCCTTTGTAAGTGACCCTTAAGTCTTTTTAAGGGCCTTGTTTGCACAAATCCCGCTCATAGGAATAGAAAAATAATAACAGAGAGGAACTGAATACATTACAATATTAAGTATGTAATACCTCAAAGAGAAATTCTGTTCAGTGTTGGTAGTTGTTATAAGTGTGTTTGGTTTGTATTTTCCAATTCAGTTTCCTGGAAAAGAAATATAAAACAACTAAATGGTTTCTGCAGAGCACATGTGTACCCTAAGGCACTTCTTACATGTCTGTCAGAAAATCTTTGTTACGTATCACAGTAAGAAAAGACTTAACAGTTGTGTTTGGTTTTCTCTAACAGGCTGCTAGTGCATTTTTCTTACTGTCCCTCAGTAGCACAAATGCTTTTACTGACAGAAACACTGCCATATTGATAGGTGGCATCACTTTTCCTGTGATTATTTTCCAACATACCCATTTCTTACTGCGGAGCACAAAGGTCCACAGCTCTAGACACCCGTATGGCCCGTGGGGTTGATCCTCCACCCAGTGCCCACGGCTCCCAGCAAGAGCCTGCTGTTGGCACTGGAAAGAGCCCACCAGTCGGTGTTCCATCTTAGCTCTGCTCTCCACAGCGTCAGGCAGACACACCTATTGATTCCTGTCCTCGAATTTTCCATATCAGCCACTCTGCTGTAACATAGGGACTACGCTCCTTGGTTTGAGATAACATGTACCTATCAGCCTGAAGTTAAAGTCAACCTCTTGCTGGTCCTTTGAAGAGAAAGCTAAAGGTGTGCTGTGTTTCTGGAAACTGAGCAACTGGGTGGCTTATTCTACATCCTGCTTACTCAGGTCGATAACAAGCTTTATATACAACAGTGCTTGCTAAAATATAAGATTTTTCCCCAAATAAAAGATAATTTATTTTTGTGTTCGTGTAATGATTGCTCATCTGGCTACAAGTCTGATATGGTATTTTAAATAAGTTATTGTTTTGTAAATTTTATTATTTGCATTTCTGTACACTAAGAGCCACCCATACAACTTGAACCAAAAAGTTTTCTAAGAAATTGTGTTTAGAGAAATGTTAATGAGTATTCAGAGTATTCATCTGATGCTCTGCACTGTCGGTGTCTCACACTCAGAGAAATATGAAGAGCACTTGCTGTCTGTCAGCTGATGCCACAGATAAGCAGGTACCACAAAATGTTTGATCTAATGTCACGCAATGTTGCAGTTCACAATTCTGCACGTATTTATGGCAGGTGGCATAAATATGTCATAGGTGGAGCGTTCCACGTTTAAATGAGTGCTGCTGTCCATGTCCTGTTGAGTTCATAGGGCTGGGTGAAGCGGGTGGTACGACTGCAAGGAGCCCATATGGTGGTACTTGCTGGTGAGAGGATGTGAGTATCTTGCTGGAAAAGAGTAGCACATAGACGTAACTGGCCAGATATTCTGAAACACTTCACATTACCTCAGCAATCTATTGGGTACTTTGTTGTTTCCTCTCTAGTAGTTATACATGCAATAATTTTTGAAAAGATCTTATTATGTTCAGTTTACCTGAAGTACATGATAAGTAGAATACACAGTGAGTCATTCTCAACAAATATTTTGTCTTGGAAGCTCGAGGAGTTGAGCAGCCTGTGAAACGTCACTGTGTCAAATATGCTAGTTAGGTTTGAGGAGCTGGGAGCTGCGTCTCACTGCAGGCTGAATGCTGGCCCAGAGCAAAAACCCCCAAAGTTGTGAATGAAGCCGTTCGTTTCATGGCTTAAACTCTCAACTCTGTTGTCAGCTGCTGTTTCCTGTACCGCCCAGCCACTTTGGATTAGGAAGGTTACTAACTCCTGACCTTCAATAAATGTCAAATTATGCATATTGAAGTATTTTGTAATATATAAATGTAATCTGTAATAAAATTCTAATCAGACATTTCAGTGTTTGGAGATGGGGTTTGGGGCTTTTCTTTTGGCTTTCAGTAAAGACAGAAGTAGGTTAGTTCCCATGGTACAGCTTCTGGTTACTTTTATTTTTTTTTTTTTTTTTCCCCCTAAAACCGCACTTCCATGAACAGACTAAGCTGGCAGAAGCTGCAGCCAGCACCCACTCGCTCTGGGAGGGGACAGACCGGGACAGCAAAAAATGGGTGGAGACTACTTCTTTCAGCAATAACTCTGTTTTATGCTTGTAGCTCTGGTTTGTGCTCATTTAAAGTTCTTGCAAAGCTTCAGTGTAAAGGTGCAAGTAATCCCGTGTCAGCTGAACTAAACCCCAAGGTTACCGCTTCCTTCCTCGCACCAACACTTGGTGCTGAGCAGGGGCCTACGTCAGACAACTGGCTCCACTTAAAGGTTATGCATAATTGGCTGCCTGCAAAATTTTCAGCCCAAGGGAACAGTTGAAGTGGGATCACTGCAGTCCAGGCTGGGATTGAATTAGCTGCCATGAACTTGAACTTGAAGACTCTGCAAGAGCGCCAGCAGGCTTGTGCTGGTTTTACTTCTCTGTTGGAGTCTCCCCGTTACACTGAGGTCCCTTTTATGTCAATTCAATAAAGTAATTTTCTCAAGTTGTGTTGTATCTTAAAATATGCTCTAAGTACTAGTCTCCTACCTCTTTTGCACTGTTAATATGGAACTTTTCGGTTTGTTTTTTTGCACAATGAAAACACATACTGAAGGAATCACAATACTATGTAGATAAGGTGTAGTTTCACAAGAATATTTTCCATATATTGAAGAGTTGAGACAGTAAATCTGCATCTATTGGTAATGTCAAATAACAGCAAAGTGATACAGCAAGAGAAAAGAAAAATGAAATAGAAGCAAGAGATCCTGGTTTGTGGTGCCTGTGGTCTTTTTGCACCAGAGGCAGAAATAGGAAGCAAGGACGGACTAGTTTCCGTCTGCCTGTCGTAGCCCATTAGTCATTTTGCACATTACTTTTCATGAAAACAGCTCTATGTACAGCTGATTCATACTGTGTATTTACACAGTATAATTTAATAGTGAATTTAAGATAGCCTTGGTTTTGTGCCTTTGATAGATAGATGTGTTTAATTTTCATTATGAAAATAGATTCTCTGTTTATTTCATAAGTACGCAAATAGTTTTGCATTTTTATGAACTCCTCTGTTTGAATACCTTGGTCAAAAGTGCTTTCGTTATGAAATGTATAACCACAGGGAAGAGGAACAACTGGAAGGTGAAACTGAACTTGTGTTCTTCAATAAAAAGCAGGGCGAGAAAGCAGAAGTTGGAACAGGGATGGAGCAAGATTATGCCTTAGTAAACCATGGAGAACATCCTGCTTGTACCAGTGTGCTCCTGTTTGCCATCCTGGTGGTGTCAGTACTCGGTCTGGGTTGTGCACATGCAGTATCTGTGCTCTTTAAGGTCACATGAGAGAAGCTCTATAGGTATTTCAGTATTTCACTGAAGCTTAGTCTTTCAGGCGTATTTTTCTTGCACGCCTTTAAATAGTAATATTCATGGAGCGTGCATTACAGTTCCATAAAACTGGACTGAAGAAAGAGAGCTCTGGCAATTTTAGTCTAACGTTACTGAAGATAAAAACTTGTTCTAGCCTTGAGCTAAGGTTATTTGAATGCTCAGAGGAGGTTTGATGAATGATAATCGCATATAGAGAATGGTCGGAAATAAGGGTAAGATTCTTTCCAGATCACGTTACCTAATGAAAAAGAGCAGATGGTGACCAGCCTTGTAGTCTTTCTTCCCCCCATTTCCCCATGTAAAAATATTGCAGTTACTGAGGTATAACCTACAACCCGGACCAAATCAGTCTGCTCTGCAGTGGAGAGAGAAGAGCAAGCAGTGGCAGGCAGCAGAGGCAAAAGGGTTCGTGGAGGAGGAGCAGGGCTTTGGGGACATCTTTTCTGTATTACCTGAATACTCAATTCGCTTTCACTGCACTGGGTCATAATTTCTGGAATGTATGCATGAAAATAAGATCTAAATGTAGCTTGCGTGTATGCTAATAATACTTTATACCTAAAGTATGAGATTTTAGGGCCACACCAACTGTGTTAACACATTTTCCTGCCTTTCTGAAGTGTAGACCAGACATTGAATGCCAGTGTAAAAGAGTGTGATCTTATCTGAAAGGCCACAGTGGATAAGGTTTCTGTCGGCTGTTTCTCTAAGGTGATTGATTCATTGGTGTTCCTCAGGCAGACAAAAGAGTTTAATAAATTTGTTACATCTTATCTCTTAGTTTAGAAGTTTACTTTTCCTTAAAAAGCTGAAAAAGAAAAATATTTCCGTCACTTGGATAGCATTAAGTAGATTTACCTTTAAGAAAGGTAAGCTTTGAATACTGGGCTGCTGAAGCTTTAAAGTTGAGGCTATTAAAAGCAGTCTAATGTCGTAATGCTCTTTAAACCAAGAGTTAAATGTTAGCGCTTCTTGTCAGGTGCAGTTGTTGGTAGCATGTTACATCATTCAAACATCTGAAGGCACTCAGTACATAGAATTTAGGTGAAAACTGAGAAAGTTAAGCAATGAGTTTCTAGTGGTATCCCCTGACCTAAAGGAAAGTACATGATTAGCCTGTTCCATGTTTTCAAGTAGCAGGGAGTACTTTGCAATTGTACAAGTGGTATGGGCAACAAACAGCTGACACAGCTCCTATTACTGATCCAGGAAAATGTTGGATTGAATGGTCTGTTTAGATATATTTATAACCTAAGAGGTGCCTAGACTTTTCACTATTTCATGTTTTTCTTTTTCAGATATTTCGTGAATTTATTGACCTACTTACCTAGAACCACTTGAATTGCAGTTGCATTAAAGGTAAAGAGTGACTTTTTTTTTTTTTGGTACTAGTAAGCAATAAGATTGACCGTAACTAGGGACTGGGCACTTAAGGAAACCTTCCAACAGGGAACTTTGTCCTTCCATCACTATAACAATCGCTCCAAATACTGATAGACTTGGAGTGGGGACTCCATGTTTTTAAGTTGAAAATGGAAACATTTTCTGACGACCTTAGCTTTTTGAGTATCACTGCATTTGTTAACAAGTTACCTTATAGCCTTTTTTATTACTAAACATCAGTTGCTGCTGTGATACACAGTGTCATACTAAAGATTTCTCTGACCCTTTTTCAGGACAAAAAAGTTCCTAAAAATAGGTTGAAAGAATGGTCAACAGCGTCAGTTTCCTCTTCATGCTTCCTGCAAAATTTGTCAAGTCTAAGACTACTTTACTCTGTTTAGTCTAGTGCTGTACAAACAGTTTCTTACTTCTGCAGTTGCTACTGTAGCTCCCACTTTATTCATTTTAAAGGTGATCTAGTTACCTAAATGTCAAGTCACTTGAGTTTTAGCTGCGTGGTTTGCTGCAAATAGTCACGCATGCCTTTGTTATGTCTTCTGAGCCAGCAGGGCTTGAACAAATTCCTTTCAGGAAGGTGTGTGGCAGTGCTAGTGCCCAGCTGGCCTGTGCCAGTGCCTTTTGCTGAGGGGTGGGAGGGATTAGCACAGGCACAATCATGGGATAATGACAATATGGTTACACACCTCCTTGGCCAAAGCGACTTGCTCCGTGCTGCCTCAGGCTTGGAGCACGTGATACTGTGACCTGATCCTCTAAGTATGTCCTCTGCTGTTTAGCAAAAGCCACTTGGGTATTTTGGACTAAGAACATCAAAAGCTGCTCGCCCTCTGAAATTGTACACCTTAAACAAGCATGTTGGTGTCTTTAAAATAAGAAGTGTGATAAATGTGCATGCGCGACTGTTGGGGGGTGGTGAAGTTCAAAACCTCACCCTTTAAAACCATCTCATGGGATTGTGCTTTTTTTTTTTAACTTCATTTCTCTAAGAATTGTGCTAGTTTTTACCTTGTTCTCCTGTCTTGGTATGAACATTTACGTTCGGACTACTTTTGCATTGTTTTCCTATTTTGGTGGTGTTACACTGCTCAGAATATTGAACAAAATAGTGTTTAGCGCTGTTAAATCTAACTTGAATCTGCACTTTGCCTTGTAGGAGACAAAGTGCTGTAATTTGCTTGATCATCTCACTTTCTCTTTGAAGTGCAGATAAAACCAAAGAACTGTTATGATGTAGTAAGTCAGTGAGATTGCCTTCCCTGGTAGAGAATGCCTTCACCAGTATTATCTCCCTTGCTGATGGGTACAATCCCCAACTTCTCTGACTAAATTGACATACGGTGAATTAAGTTATATTATCCACAGACAACTCATCCCTAATCTATACCTCCAGACCTTCCTTGTAAAAAGTAATACTTGACTCACCAAATAATGTTGTTAAAATAAATGTACACTAAAGATATGTCTATCATAAAGCACATGAAAGTAGCGAAGTGCTGTAATTTGCTTGATCATCTCACTTTCTCTTTGAAGTGCAGATAAAACCAAAGAACTGTTATGATGTAGTAAGTCAGTGAGATTGCCTTCCCTGGTAGAGAATGCCTTCACCAGTATTATCTCCCTTGCTGATGGGTACAATCCCCAACTTCTCTGACTAAATTGACATACGGTGAATTAAGTTATATTATCCACAGACAACTCATCCCTAATCTATACCTCCAGACCTTCCTTGTAAAAAGTAATACTTGACTCACCAAATAATGTTGTTAAAATAAATGTACACTAAAGATATGTCTATCATAAAGCACATGAAAGTAGCGGAAAGCAAGTTCACTCAGGAAAAGTTCAGAGTAAAGTGAGCAAAAACTTGCAGCATGAAGTCCTGTCTTAGGTAAATCTTTATCTGGGAATTCTAGGTATGGATCTAGAGATGATCAGGATCTAGAAATGAATCTGGGTATGTTTGGCTGGAAAGTGATAGGATACATTCACCATGAACCAAGCAATAGACTGTGCTAAAATTTTGCATTAGGACCACAATAAAATTCAGTTCCTTAAATGTACAAAAGAGATCATTGCTTTTTCCCTGGAAAATACTGTGATTGTACAAAAGATTAAAATATGCTTGCTCGTAATTTTATTGACTTCCAAGCTGTTTTCCTCTGCAGCTTAACTAGTTACACAATGAAAAATAGAGATGACTCATGCTTTAAATCTCAGGGGCCACCATCTCAAATGGCCATGGGTGGGAACAGTTTTCTTAAGCTTGTATTTTTTAAGTGCACATCCAGTCATGTCTATGTCAGAACACTGAGGACAGAATTTCTTCAAATTGCAAATAAGAAAGTCTAATTCTTTTTGCTTAGTCACAAAAAGGGTAGAATTTGCATTTGGATGTGAGCTCCTAAAAGAAAAGGGAAAGTGTGTTTCCCAACTCTGGTGTTCTTCTTGTTGACTGTCCCCACAGAATTCTGAAAACCCATAAGAATTTTGGGAAAAATCCCTCCCCAGTATGCTTTTTGGTAGGCAAAAGACTGCTAACACAGTACACCAGGAGGAACATGTACTTCTCTCCCCTCAATCCGCCCCTCCCCCCCCTTTTTTTTATCCTAAGTATGTAATTAATTTCACTGCCTAAATTATTAACCAGTGTCTGAGAACAAGGCAACCTAATGCCCCTGATGCGAGACACTGGAGTTTTTGAAAACCAATAAAGGTAAATATAAAATCGGTGGCAGAGTGTCTTGTCAAAATGAGAGCTGAAGAGACAGGTTTTGGTTTTGGTTTTGTTGTTTTTTCCAAGAAATACAGAATTGTGTTTAGAACTTTAGTCTGTGAAATTTCAGAAGAGTCCCTGTTGGGAAGACACTTAAAAAGAAGTACATAATGTCAGGTAACTAGAGTAAAAGGGAGAGGCTGTTGTAGTCCCTCATTGTGTCTGGATTTCCACAGAAGGCAGGAGGTCACTGTCTCTGGGCTCTCAGCAGAGCCTTAGGAGGGATGATGATGATCTGTCACTACACGGCACGTTTGGCTGCCAGACTGGGCTTGTGTTCCTGCGCTTCAACATTTTAGTGTCTGAGTTTCTCCTTTCACAAAAAGGTTATTATAGAGCAATGCTGCTAGATTTCAGGAAACTTATAAATAAAGGAAGGAGCTTTTAATGACGGGCTCTGCTGTGCTTACGTTACTAAGCTTTGGTCAGACGAATCTATTAGCTGAATTCTATTTAAAAAAAGAATGATTCTATGTTTATCTTCTCCTAACTGTTGTTCTTATGTAGCAACAGATTCATGTTACTATTCTATTTTGTATTAGGAAATGCCATTTTACTTTTAAGTGTTTCTAATGCGTCATCACAAGATTACATACAATTCCTCCTAGGTCGTGTTCTGCAGATGTTTGGTACCGCGCCAGATTTGAGGCCAGGAAATAAGTGTTAATATTTAATCTAGGGTAATGTCATTAATGCATTTTTTGCCTTGTTGAGTAAAACATCATTAAGAGTTGTCTAGCCCTAATACCATGACTTGATCAGAGTGTGAACTGAATACATGCACTGTGGGAATCGGTGAAGTGGTTGTATCCAACAGGCATGAGCGTTGTCTCTGGGTAAATTTAAAAAAACTTTTACCCAGGGAGATGATTTCCTGTACTCCCTCATCTTTATTTGCAAAACAAAAAACACCTGATGTCCTATTTTCCTTACATTGTGAAAGGATGTTGCTGAAATTATTATCATAAACAAATGGTAATAACATAAGAGGGGAGATGAGCCCCCTAATACTTAAACAACCTGTTATCCATGCATATGTTCCTAACACTGACAATGAGTTGAAAACAGATAAAAGTGAATGCTCAATAGACCCACCAAGCACCTAGCTATTAGAATCAAAGATTTAATTAGAAAGCATGAATGTAAGTTGTGTATCTGCACTACTTCCCCATCACACATTCATGAATATTACAAGAACAGGACTATTACATCTAACTTTGAAGACTGTAAGACACTGGACATCAATTATTTACTTTTATTGTGCCCTGAAAATGCAGGGACAACAGAGTTCTTAACTTTTCTGTTAAGAAACCCAGCTTCGAGTAAACTCCTGCTCTATGTCAGATGTGGTCCATTTAAGAGACAGAAGTAAAATGTAGACCATCCATTTGCTGCTGAGAGAGGCGAAACGGTGGCATAGTTAAGAAGTTACCTGAAAGAAGTAACTTGTACGAGTGTTACCGGTCCCTTTCAGTGCAAAGTAAAAGTGCTCAACTTAAAACACGACAGAATTGGTACAGAATGCCAGCATGTTTTCAGATGCCTGTATTCCACGCAGAAAAAATGGAGAGAATGTCTTCAGTGTGAAGTCTCACTTGTGCTTTTGCAGTTTTACTTCTCCCTTTTCTAGCTGAACTGTCTGTTTTGGGGGAGTAATCAGTATCTTCAATCACATTTTCAAGTTAGAATCATGCTTAAAAATTTAAAATTTGAAACACAATCTGGTTATAAAAATTAAGTTTAAATGCTTCTTTGTAGTTATGTATTATGCTAGAGACTGCACAAACAGTCCATGGTACAAACCTATACAGAATAGTCTGGATGTTTTTTTGTTTTATTATTTAACCTGCTTCATTTGTAATGCTTAAAAATAAAACAAAGATAAAGAGGGGAATTGATCTCCAGTCTGTAGTTTCACACTGACAGAGTACAGCAAAGGTCTTCTGTTGCAATATGCTCCAAAACAATCGGTGCAATAACAGGCTTTGGAATTTATTTGAAGTTGCCCAAAATAAGAGAATGTTTTCAGAAAGTTTGAATTTACCAGGTCTGTACTCAAAGGAGGTGTGATTTTCATGTAGGGAAGCAAGTGCCAAACCTTGTATGAAATTAATGAAATGTATGAAACTGGTTTCAGTGTAAACTATGCATTAGGGCCTTTTTTGATTTGGGGTATCAAATTTCTCAAGGATAGTGTTTGCAGATAATTTTCTTATGGACAAAACATTATGGACAGTGTCACAAATAGGGCTTTGTATTTACAGGTCATAAACTGATTTCATAGAATCACAGAATGGTTTAGGTTGGATGGGGCCTTAAAGATCATCTAGATAATTTGATCTTCCAGACTGCGTAATTCAACAGTCTTAGGAGGCCATTACGTCTGTATTTTGGCAAAGCAGTTTACTTCTGCAAAAGAAGCAGAATATTAAATGATGATGCTAACTTAAATATCTCTAATTGGATCATCAGAGTCCTGCAAGTCACAACCTTTCCATTGCAAAATGGTTGTGTAGCTAAACACAGAACTACTCGGTCTATCCAGTTTGGGTTATGTACGGGAAGAAAGAGATTATCAATATTTACATAGCTTTTGCTGGAGAACTTCCACAGCCACAGAGCCTGTTGTTTGTCCTTGATCACGCTGCTGGCCTTTTGATGTGCTTATTTGAAAATTGGGTGGAAGCAGTACCGTTGCTTGGCTTGTGTGTCCCTGGCTTTTGATGGGCTCACAGCACAACCAGTACAGGTTGAATATGGGCTTTGCGAGAGGAAGGACTGGAGTGAATGAGCCTCAGGTATTTCCAGTGCAGATTCTGGATAGAATTTAATGGGGCAAAAGTTAAACCGAGGTGGGCCTATCTGGATAGAATTTAATGGGGCAAAAGTTAACCGAGGAAATAGTTTCCCAATTCAGGGTATTCGCAATGGGCAGTTTTCAGCCGTGGAATGCCTTGGCCTTTTATGTTTTCTGCCTTTGGGGCACACAAACAGCTCTTGCCCTTTCGTCAAATATTTGCTTGTCCTTGTGATACGAGATTAGGAGAGAGAGTTTCACACCAGTCTGTCAGATAATTGAGAAACACTGGGGAAGTGTGGCTGGTCTGGTTTCCAATCCAATAGTTGTTGCAGCTATAGATGTATGACACTTCACACTTACAAATTGATTATTTTTTTTCCCGACTGACATTAAGTGCACGTATATTCTGAGGTAGTAAAACAGAAGTAGTTGATATAAAGGACAGCTATTTTTCTTGAAACCAAAAATAAATCTAATCTTTGCTTAGTAGTTAAGTAAAACGTTGTATTAACTACTTTTTATTTTTAAGCAGCAGTAAGAGAAATGAGATTTTCTAATACTACTTGTGGTTTTGCTGTTTCAAATACAATGTATATATTTAAGCAGGGACCCTTGACTTATGCCAGGATCCGCTATACCAGACTTCCCCGCTCCCTGTCTTGGGACACAGGTACTAGTATTTGTGCTGCACAGACGTAGTAAGAGCTCTTGAAAGCTCTCAGGCTTTGAGCTTCTGTTGCAGTGACAGAGCAGAGAAGTTCTTCTGAAACCTGCTGGCGTTTGATTAGATACCTCTGGAGTTTCCATTGCCTTTGACGTACAAAGTTGTGCAAGAGGAAAATATGTAGAAATCTGCCTGTGAGAAAGGAACAAAAATCAGACCTTGTGTACTTTTTTTCCTACCTTGAGTAACTTGCATTAATATTGGCAGAGTTTGCTTTCATAAAAACACTGATATGATGTAAAAACTGAATCATTTCCCTCAGCTTTTCTTCTTTCAATATTTTTAACCCCCAAAATGTTGTAATTAGCCACAAGATTCTTCTAACTTGTATTGTTATTTGATCACAGTCTTCTCATCTGTAGAAATGTTCTCTCATTCTTGTGTGTGACAGGTATAAATCTGGAAAAATCAAAATATGTAGAGAGCCCAGTAGTATGCGCTCATTTGTTTCCTGTGTTTAAGCTTGCTGCATCTTCCTGGCAACGTGATATTTCCTAGTCTTTCTGTCATTTTGTTTTGATATCCTAGGCTCTTTCAGTTCGAGTACTGGAACAAATTAAGGACTACTAGGTATTGATTCAATTCCCTTCCAAGAACTGACTGTAACTAATAACCCACATAATTACTCAGATCGACTCACAGGTTTTTTCACTGTGTAGAACCACTTTTCCGCTTAAGAAATTACAAATGCTTACTGTGGTTTCCAAAATGTTTAGATCTGCCTGAATGCTAGAGAAATTCTGGAAAGAGTTGTTCCTTATTCATACCAGATTGTTTTGGAAGATTACAGAACTTCCTGAAAGGAGGTGACCCTGAGTACTTACGCTAAAGCCAGGATTGAGTCTCCATTTGAAGCTGGCAAGAGCTCGGTTGCAGAGGAACCAGGACTTCCTCTGGTGGTGTTTTTAAACTAAACAACTTCTTGCCTTGCAGAGTCCAGGTTTTCTTCACGAACTAGAATTCTGCTCTTTTCCTGACTAATGTTATCTTTTGTACTAGAAGACTTTCCTAATACAATGAGAAAACATTTTAAAAGTTGCAATTAGAAGTGGATTTAAAAAGAAGTATGTTTTCTTCTAGTCATGCTATTACATAGTAAATTGGATCCCTTTCAAGCTTTTTAGCACAAGAGGAAGAACAATAAACACTGTTATTCATATATTTTCAATATTAAACCTTTACAGTGTTTTGGACTTGGGCTAATAAAGGCCCTTCCTAACAAAGATAATAATTTGCTGCCTTATTAAAATTAAATTACGTAGGATAAAATTTCTAGCCACAGGTACTTCTTTAGGTTTTGAGTTACACTTAGAAATTCTAGTTGTGTGCAAATGCTGGATGAGTTCATTCTGTTCTGCTGGAGTAGTTAAATGCGAAGATTAGGGCACTTCTTCCTCCGTGAATAGTTACTTCCAGAAGTATAAACCTTCTCCCTGTTCCCCACACACACTTGTGCTCTTATTTATTTTCATAAGGTTTTGTGACTACTTAAAAGCTATTTTTCTATATTAAAAAAAAAAAAAGTTGCCACTTGTTTCATAGATTTTCAGCTAAATTAATGAAAAATAACAAAGAGTGTCTCTTCTGTTCCAAAACCTGTGCTCTGATTTCAGACTTTGTTCTGTGGCCCTGGCTGCAGGACAAGACTGGAGGGTTGCCTGTTATCTGTCTCTGAAGCTTTTAATCGAGGGTATCGAAGTCTATATAGTCAAAGAGCATCTCTTCCATCTGTGGCAGTCTGTGAAATGCAGGGTCAGTGCTTGTATGAGCATTTGCATTGGCTATTTGTTTTCTATGGTAAGCTCGGACTATAGAATTTTTGTAAACACCCACCATATAACAGTAATAAGGAAAATATTACCTCATGAGTGAGGTTTCTAACACAAGTGCTGTAACGTACCATTGCAAAAGATAAATGAACTCTAGCCTAGACAGTTACCCTTTCAAAATTGCTAGAAGCTTATTCACCCAAGGAAAATCCTTGGGAGATGCTGAAAACACAGCTATCTAGGAGAAACTACATTTAATTTGGTTTGCTTTGTTTTTTTCTCAGACTGCAGTCGTGCCTGATGCACAGTGATTGCTGATGCTGGGAATATGCTTTTTCCAACATCAAGAACTGGAGGTTCTGCTGTTTCTGAAAGCAAGCTAAATAGACTAGTTATATTGCACAATTAAGAGAAATAACGAACTTTGTAAGGCAATATAAAATATTATGGATACTAAATATTCTAGTATTACCTAGGTTTTATTTTGATACAGTGAAACTTTTTCATGTAAGTGCTACATTTTCTTTTATTTGTGAGGAAGTTTAATGAGAACGTAACTGTTATACTTTAGTAATACGTAGTTGACTTGCCTTGAAGGTATCTTTGATGGTGCATCAGTATGAATGTTGCATCTCATCCTTTCTCTTAAAGTCTAATTAAACTTAAGTAGGAGACTGAAGGCGTGATGTGTAATTTGAATAGCTGTTTGGCTTCTAACCAAATGGAATTGATGTGGATGTACTTTTGCAAGTGCAGTATGTCAGTCTCTTATGTATTATATTTAAAATATGATAAATAATTATTTGTCATGACTTTGGGTTGGTCCTGTTATTGATCAAAATCTTATACAGCCAGTAAGTGCCAGTAACACTCAAAACATTATTATGCCTCTTATTTAGTTCATATTTCAAGAGAAAATGTAGGAGGATTTTGTAAGGGATGTTTAATGTAGTTTCTGTCCATAAAAACTGGTACCTTGATTGAAATCTTAGACTTACGGGAAAGGCTAATGAAATGTAACTAGGCCAGACATCAGTTAAAAGCTTTCTGCATATAAACCCAAGTAGTCCAGGAGAGCAAATATGCAGTAGGCTTTTTAAAGCCATAGTTGCATAGAGGCATCTTTTCTTTTCACCAGTCATGGGACCAGCGAAGCCTCGCTGCCTACACAACCGTGCTTTTGTTCTCTAAACTCTCCTCTTACCTCAGTGCCCAACTCTGTTTCATGTTCCTTATGGCTCTTTGGGGCAGTGTACGCTACAGATAGTCCTGAGTCAATGTTTCTGCTGATACTCAGCCCTCAAGAATGATAAAGGTCTTGTTGCTTCTGCCCCAAGACAGAAGAATGGACCATATGAACCGTGAAAGTCTCTTTTTTTTTTCTCTTTTTTTTTTAATTGAAGTCAAGCTTCTGTTCATAGCTTTATTCAGAACACGTTAAACAGTGGGGCAGCTCACATAAAAATTGAAGTCTTTTTGGATAGTTTTATCTTTATCTGTACGCTGTAGTTTGCAAGCTTAGTCTTTTCCAATGTCATTGCTCCCCTCTTGTACGGGCAGCAGGAGCCACCTTTATCTAAACTCATAGGCTGTTCTTCTTCAGAAGCATTAGGGTAGACATTCTAAAGATACCTCCTTTCTACAAGGCAAAAAAATTCCCAACCTCTAATTTTTTTTTTTTTTTCTGTTTTAATATAGATCTAATCAACACTGAAAAAAAACTCCGTCAACCTTTATCTAAACTCATAGGCTGTTCTTCTTCAGAAGCATTAGGGTGGACATTCTAAAGATACCTCCTTTCTACAAGCCAAAAAAATTCCCAACCTCTAATATTATTTTTTTTTCTGTTTTAATAGAGATCTAATCGACACTGAAAAAAACTCCGTCGTTGCTGTCAGAACCCTTGTAAGTACTACCTGTGTGTGTGTGTGTGTCAGTTTTTGTATGAATATGTTCAAAGGAAGGAAAAAGCCAAGTTTTTTTTCTTGGGACTAAGTTTTTCCTACTGATTACAACTGATTTTTGGAAAGACAGAAGCACTTTAAAAAGTTTTTCCTACTGATTACAACTGATTTTTGTAAAGACAGAAGCACTTTAAAATACCACAAATGTGGGCCACAAATTAGCTTAGTTACCGGTTTTTATAAATACTTTTTAAAGTACTTCAAACAAATCTGAAATTTCAAAATGAAAGAAATGCAACCGTTAACTTCTGCTAATGTGAACAGTACCATACCTGGCAGCAAGGTTATGATGTGTGTTTGTACGTGCACTTAATTCGGAAGTAGAAGTGTGGTGAGGGTGCCAGTTTTAGGACAAAACAAACATTCTTTCCCATTAAAACCTTTTTATCATTACTTTATTGTATCAGGCAGTACTTTGAACATTCTGATGTGTCTTTTTAGCATGTTAGAAAGTTGTTCCAGTAAACTGTAACAGTTCTTAAGTTAGTGTTCAACACTGAATTGAGTTTTGCTGCTTAGTCACCTTGAAGACTTTCTCACGTATAAAATTACATATTCTGCGCATGTAGAAAGGGTTATTGATGACAACAGTAGGATGTAATTTTTCAAACACAGTCTTCTTCACACATAGTCTTACAGTCCATTCTGCAATCCAGTTCAGTTTTAAAGACTTAGTATTGATAATCAGTAATAAAATGTGAGCTTGATATTATAAAACACCCATTTAAATCATGACAGTACTGTTATAATTCATTGTGGTGTTTGCATCTCATCAGTGCTCAGATAACAAGAGGAGCAGGTCCCCATCATTTTATGTATGATAAAAAAGGGACAGCTCTAACCTTAAAAACTTCAGTTCAATTCACTATTGCCCAGATGCAATAAGAAAGAGTGGAATATAGCAGTGGAAAGGTGAGATAATTGCAATAAGTGTAGATTCATAGATACCATTAATCAATATAGATTCAATTAGAAAGTTGTAAGCAAATCAATATATGAAAATATAATCTTCAGTTGTTTGTTAATAACATGTACACAGAAAAGACTCTTGTGGTTGTTCAATGTTATACAAGCTGCTAAATAGCTTAAATATAATTTATAAAATTAAAGTACAGGAGATTAAATTGAATAGAAAAGTTAAAGTAAACGTCTTTTTATAGCATTGGTCAGTCCAGGACACTGGCTAAAGAATTTAGGTAAATATTAGCCCATATCTCTCCTCCCTTTCTAAATTAGTCAGTTCTTGATTATTAGTTTTTTACCAGTAGGACTCCTTCTGACAAAGCTACTACTCAGCCTGACTAAAAGCTAAAGTATTGTCTCATTATATTAAATTGCTTGAATTAGTCCAACAAGTCTGATTTTTATCCAAGTCATTGTGTCTGGTCCTATGCCTTTTGTTGGAAGGTGAAGAGCAGTGAGAGTTGTCCATGGGGTTTATTTACCATCTAGCGCTGTGTCTGACCGCGGGCGTGCGCTGGCGTCTTTCCTACTGTGGCCTTACTGCTATGGCTGATTTTGTGTTAAATACGAGTGCAACTGCTGCTTCTGGAGCACTGAATTAACTGGAATTAAAATATCACACAGGATTTGTAATATAAACCAGTAAACCTTCATTTTCAAGAACTGGAGCTTAGGGAAGTAAAATGCTCTCTCCTCTGCTGAGGTTTGACTGTACGCTGAGCAGTTGGTGACAATAAGGTTAACTAAAGCAGAGTAAGTGTATTAATTTTGGAATGAATGTAGCATTCACCTTTTATAAAAAGAAATATGCAGAATATTCTTTTTTTCTGAACAAGTCTGAGCTTAGTTTAGTACATTATACTATCATTCAACAGTAGTTTTATTCTCTAGGTTTAATCTAAAAAATTAACATGGCAATCATGTTATTTTAAGTATCTGCAGATCTCTTAATCTTACGTTACATTAAATGTTGTTGATATTGGCTACAACACAACTACAGGTGTTGGAATTATTAAAAAACCCAACAACCTATTAATAGATTTGTGTTATGCTGTTAGTAACAGCTGTCTTGTTTAACTTGAAACGTTAATTGTAGCCTCCCTCATCACCCGAGGGTGGCAAATATGTTAATAAAGGTACACTTTGAGGTGTGCCTGCGTTCTTTTAATTCTTGATAGAGCCCTGAAAGTTTCCCCGTACTCATCCATTCGATTATCACATTCTGTCCATGAGAGACTGGGCTTTGCCACAAGCTGCCCAGCGTTACGCGCTCCCCGGGGCCCGGGGCACTGCTCCTCTCTTAGTGCACCTTTGCCTTTCATGTTTCCTGCTGCGTGCACATCCCTGCCGTGTTTGCGTGCCACTCAGAGGAAGATAAGAACCCTTTGCACACCAGTACAGACTAGTTGCAGACCAGTGGGCCAGCCACAGCTGTGGTTTGCTCTGACGCCTTTGTTTTTCTCCCACTCACCTTCAGTCTTTATTCAGGCCCAGTTCTCACGCAGACAAAATCTTGCCAAATCGTGCTTTAAATTGGATTAAATTGGTCAAATTGGATTCCATTTCCCACACCTGGAGTTCTGAAATACATATGTTAAAGTAGTTTTTGGAGGTGGAAAAGCAAATCTGTATAATCCCTTTCCAAGAGTTTGATATTCATAGTTGAAAAGTAATAGATGAAAAAATCAGTTGCTGGGGCAAGGTTAATAAAGCTGTTTTGGAATATATAATTTTTAGATTACAACATGTAGACTTTTGAGGACTCTGTATCAAGATACATCTTAATATGAATACAAATTGATATAATACTCTGAGAAGCAGTAAAGAAATCTGCTGTATCTTTTCTCTGTAGTACAAATATTTAGGGGGAAAACAACTGTTGACCTTTCCCATAATTACACAATTGGAGCATTACTCCAGTAGCTTAAACACAATATTATGATGTGAAGGACAGACTTCATCCCAACAGCCCTGAACTATTCAAACAGAGATAGTGGGGAAAAGTCTTTGAAAAGTAAATATTTGTGGATGCAACAAGCAAGTATGGAAAAGATTCATCCTCCTTCGTCTTCAGAGCATGACGCTGCTGTATCACACAGTGTACGTGTCTCTTCAACCAGTTACTTCAGTCTCCTTCATCTTGATGCACTTGAAGTGAACTCTTAGAAGGACTAGAACTAATGTATTGACTGTAATATTACTAATTTAATTCTTTTTTCTTTTTTTTTTTCCTGCTCTCTGCTTGGCTCTGGTCTTCACCCACAGGTGTCCACTGTTGGCTCTCAAAGGTTATTAAAATTTTAAAAGCTGAAACAGAACTACCTAAGCTTCACTTACTGCTGCTTCTTCCTCCGCCGTACCGCACTGCACTGCTGCTTTGCTTTCGCTGCTTCACGACACAATAAGAGATTTTCTTTATTAAATACCTGCAATGATGAAACTTAGGCTAGAAGGACTTGCCATTCTCTTGCTGCCTGTGTACTTGTTAATATATGTGTACAGTATGCTTGTATTTATTCCATGGTATTTTCTTACCAATGCTAAGAAGAAAAAGGCTATGGCAAAACGTTTAAAAGCTAAGCCCATCTCGGACAAACCCGGAAGCCCCTACCGTTCCGTCACTCACCTGGACTCACTCGCACACATAAACATCCCCGGAGCAGACACCTTGGACAAGCTGTTCGACCACGCTTTGGCAAAGTTTGGGAAGAAGGACTGTCTTGGGACCAGAGAAATACTGAGTGAAGAAAATGAAATGCAACCAAATGGAAAAGTGTTCAAAAAGGTAAAACTTATGATTTTGTACTTAATTCTGATTTGGTTTTGAGGTGCTTTGCATCTTGCTGCAACAATGAAGGTCTCCTTAGAGGTCTTCCTTAATCATCATCTTATGGTATAAAACATCCATTTTATAGTAGTTAAAGAATAACAGAATACAGGATTTATTCTACCTCAAGAAAAATGAAAGCAGTTTTTTGTTTCTTTTAATTAATGGCAGTGTGCATGTTTATGGTGTTATGGTGGTAGAGCTGTACCAGCAGCGACTTGTTATCACAGTTATTTCATTTTTCCCCCCCTCACCAGTTAATTTTAGGAGCTTACAGGTGGTTGTCCTATGAAGAAGTAAATGAGAAAGTGAATCGCTTGGGGAGTGGACTGACTGCCCTGGGACTAACCCCCAAGAGCACCGTTGCCATATTCTGTGAGACCCGAGCAGAATGGATTATTGCAGCTCTCACCTGCTTCAAGTACAACTTTCCTCGTGAGTCCTGAGCTCATTCACTTCTCATGTATTTTAGAACTATTTCTCAGCACTGGTTTGGCTGTTTGCTAGTTTGAATCTGCAAATCCTATCACTGATGGTGTAAGAATTTTATAAACTTACTCTGCCTCCGGTTGGATTCTTAAAAGTTTCCAGTCTGTTCCATTGCAGAGATCCCTAAAATTAACTTGCTCCTACTTAGGAGACTGTTTTTTCTAGTAACGTTATAGATGTTAGTATGACAGAACAGATCGGTTACTATTCAGGTTTTTTCTAAGTACTCTCAAGATGGCAGTAGTTGTGTTTCTCTCCAAAAAATGTGGAATGTTTTTATAGTATTTCCTGTCTGTATCCTGATTTATGCATCCCAAACATGAAATGGTTGTTGGAAGAGAGAAGAATGGGACAGTAATCAAAACCATATGCTAGTCTGAGAGTTTTTCGGTGACATTTTTAAGCTGCACAAGTGCATTACAATTACATGTATGGGTGGTTTTCATTCTTTAAATTGTTATTTAAGCTATCAAAAAATTTCTAATGTGACTTAATGTGTACAAACATCTTGGTGAAGTGCAAAGGTTACTGTGCCCTGGTGCCCAGGCTGCATACAACACTGTCACCCACAGCTTCTTTCTGTTGCCGCCTCGTGTTCTGGCTCGCACCAGGCTGCCTCCTTCTCCCCGTGTGAGCAGCAGCTGATGGTGTGGGGAGAAGAGGGTGCAGAGGCTGTTAGAGGGCAATGATGGAAGAGCTGACTTTGCTGTTGAAGTAGGAGAGGGTGGTTAATTCGGTGTTGATCCTCATGCTTTAAGAGGTAGGGAGAACCAGCTATATGACGTTATCTCTTTTTGTCCCTTCTACATAAACCCTGTTTCACAGGAAGATTAAATTCCTTTAATGGTCTTTGGAGGTTAGAGTTTGAAATAATAGCAGATAATGCTAAAGGAAGGTTTGTGGGGTTTTTTTTCAATAGAGAGATGATGGGAAGAGTGAATTCCTTGGTGCCTGTGAGACACTTAATGGCATCACTGCAGCCAGTCAGAGTTAAAAATAATCTAGCAACGTGAAAAACACTGATTCCTTAGTCTGATTCTCAGCCTTACCCCCATCAATAATTTCATGGGAGCAAGCAGAGGAGCTGACACTGCTGGAAGAGCTGCTTTTAGAGGGCAGAGCTCTGAGCCATGACTGGTGCCCTGTGGTGTTTCAGCTGTCACCTCTCCCTCTGAGTGCTGCTTGTTGAGAGCTCAGAGCCAGAACACGTGTTCTCCGTTGCTCACTGTGCAATTGCTTAGTGCATTAGTGTTGGGGCTTTGGTGGATTTCTTTGTTTTGGTGATTTCTCTTGTATAGAGTAGAATAGACTAGGCTAGGCTATGTCTGTTGGAAGGGACTTCCAGTGATCAACTAGTCCAACTGCCTGACCAATTTGGGGCTGACCAGAAGTTAAAGTGTGTTATTTAGGGCATTGTCCAAATGCTTCTTAAACACTGCCAGGCTTGGGGCATTGACCGCCTCTCTAGGGAGTCTGTTCCAGTGTTTACCACCCTCTCCGTAAAAAAAAAATGCTTCCTATGCAACTGTCCTCCTCATTTCAGAGGTCTCTTGTGGCATAAAATTCTGATGTGGAAAAATTAAAAAGCTGGTTTGTTTCCAAATTAGAAAATTCCCCATTGAACTAGTTTTATGCCTCACCCTCCCTCCCTGCCCTCAGTGCTTTCCAGTGAGCTAAAGCAAGGGCTTTTGCATTTAGTATTATTTTAACATTTCTTTCATGTTGTCCCTCTCCTGCCTGTACCAGTCGTGACGCTGTATGCCACCCTGGGTGAAGAGGCAGTAACCTATGGTCTCAATGAGTGTGGAGCAGCGTATCTGGTCACTAGTGCAGAACTTCTCGAGAGCAAGCTTAAGGTAATTTGGTACCAGTTTCACCTGCTTACAAACAACCCTATCATAATTTTACAGCGCACTCAGTGCTAAAAATTTCATTTCTCTTTTGTAGACTGCATTGCCACAAGTCTCCTGTATTAAACATATCATTTACGTGGACAAGAAGGCTATCAATAAATCAGAATACCCTGAAAATGTGGAGATTCACAGCATGCAGACAGTAGAAGAGCTGGGAGCCAAACCAGAAAACTGTAAGTGAATCACTTCACAGAAAACTGATCAATTAATGTTAACAGTGAAATCAGACCTAGGTAAAAAGGGATGAGTAGCAGAAAAAACCAACCTGTGCAGGCCTCTAACACAGAGGCAGTGGCAGATTGCCACTTTGTCTTCTGCCTTCCATTAAATAAACAGAAAATTTGTTTTATCTCTATTTATTGTCCTGCACTTCTGTTCAAGTGTCAGGTATTTCAGGATACAACTTTATTTTTAACTTCTAAACCATAACCAGAATAATTTAATTTTAAGACTGCACCTTTGTTTTAGGAAGTGAAATATAATCCTGTGCTGTGTTCCATTTTCTGCTCCTTTTACCTTTTATTTATCTTATTTTCACTATTCTTCCTGAGAAAAGAGGAGAAAGCACTTGAGGAATTTTTTTTTTTTTGCTGGAAGGCCTGGAAATATCTGTCTATTTTTAATAAAATCTAATCTGTAGCTGAAAAGCACAGTGGGCTAGAGGAATAACCATTACATCCCTTGCTACATTGGGCATCTGCTTTAAGGAAAGAAAGAAGAGCCCTGATCATCTCTTTTCCTTAACTCAGCACTCTGTGCTTAGCACCTCTCTCTCCGATAAAAGAGAAGATAAACTGGCAAAGGAGGCTTTTGCAGGGAAGCCCTTGTTCATTACAACTGCTTATCTTTGATCAGCTTAAGGTAGAGATACAAACCAGCAGTTACCTTGAGGGCTGTTGTTTTGTGGCTGCTTTTCCCACAGAAAGCCACCTTCCCTTGCAACACTTCTAACACAGCTAATTATTTTCATCCTAAGAATAAATGCCAAGGGATTAAAGCACAAATCAAAAGTCAAGTGTTGTAAGCTTACTGCTTACCCACTAACTAGCAGCTTACCTGAGGAAGGTTCATTTAAAAAAAAAAAAAAAAAAAGTCTTGGCTTTATAACCTTGGCTTTGTAAGAGCGATTGACAGAAAAGCTGACTTGCACCTTTTTGGGGTGTTGGTTTTTTTCCATTTGTTTTGCTTTCTTTCCTTAACCTGTTGTTTCTCTCTAATGCTGTATTTCTCCCCTTCACTGCCCTTGACAGGTTTACTTGGTTTTCAGAAGGCTTTTTCTATAAGGCTTTTCAGTCAGCTATAGGATACAATGGCAAAAGTAGTGCCCAGATGGTGTAGATGCCCAAATACTTGTCATTCCTTTCAAAATCTGCGTTCCCTTGCTTCCTCTCCAAAACAGACCACTACTCTTCGTCACAGACTGCTGCGTCCACCACTGACCACTTAACAGCACGCTGTGCTTACCTTTGTTGAAGCACTTGTTTCACACTGGTTGATTACAGACATTTTCACATCAATTAATTAATTACAGAAGTAACAGGTTAGAAAGTAGATAAGAATCAATAACATTTTTTCCTCTGCATTTTGCAGCAAGCATTCTGCCCTGCAGACCTGTTCCTACAGACTTGGCTTTAGTAATGTACACCAGTGGCTCTACTGGGAGACCTAAAGGAGTGATGATGATGCATAAAAACTTAATAGCTGGAATGACAGGACAATGCGAGAGAATACCTGGACTGGGGTAAGAAACACTTGGCTATCATGGCTATGGAGAGATTAAACAGAACCTCCAAAAGTACACAAATCCATAGAAATTCTGTTGCTGACATCAGGTGTTACTGAATTTCTTCATTTTATTGTGAGTGCACTAATCTTTATAAGAAATATACCTTGTTTATGAACTTACCCTGTTGTTTGAAAAGGCTACCCTTCTCGCTCATCACACGTGCTGTTTCTACATTTTTTATTTTCATTATTACCCTTAGCTTTAGGTCTTTTTTTTTAGGATTTTTGCAGTAATAAACTGCATCAGAAGATGCCACCAGATGAGGAAATTCCTCATCTAGTCAAACTTGGGAAATTTTTTTTTAGATGTTTTCAAGCAGCCAGAATGACTTTAGGAAGCCTGTCAGAGCCTCCCACTTCCATTGATCCAGAGATGCTGCTGTTGGGTGGATAACGCACACGCTGCAGAATCTGCTCAAGTTTACTTTACTAAATGAGCAGAAAAGTAATAAATTGTGCAGGATATAGACCCAGTTCTGACGCTGCTGAAAGCTTGTTAAATGACAGCTTTGAGTTTCTTGCTGAGAAATCTCTTAAAAAATTATTTCCTGAAAGAAGCCTCAGTACTTCAGTGATCAGCTCTCTCTCTGCTATGCGACTGTAGAAGGAGATGCTACAATGACTGTCAGGGAATTGTAAATCATTCGTGATTACTTAATATAGAGTGATTTCATCCTTAATTTCTTACCTGGGATGAAAACTCCCAGAAGCAGAGGAAATAGCAGTGGAGTACTAACGAATCTTTGAGTTCCCTTGAAAACAAGGCAAATCCTGTAATTCAGACTGATTTCATTAAGATTTTCCCCATTTTGTTTATAAACTGTGGTTTGAAATGACACCCTTCTTGCATGCAGAAGAATGAGCCTCACTTGTGATCCAAACCTTTCAAAAAGTAATAACTAAGCACACAATAAAACTGCTAAACCAGTATTTTCAGACCCCTTTTGCACCATTGTTAATTATCTCATCCCTCCCTTTCCTAGGCCCAAGGACACTTACATCGGGTACCTGCCTCTGGCCCACGTTCTGGAGCTGACGGCAGAGATCTCCTGCATCACCTACGGCTGCAGGATCGGCTACTCCTCGCCACTCACGCTCTCCGACCAGGTGAGGGGAGGATAAAAGCAAACTTCAGCTTTTGCAGTCTGCCTTCTCCTGCCTCAGCTGTCCTCTTGCATTAACAAATGTTGATATATATGGCACACTTCAGAAATGTAATGCTTTTTTTCAGAAAACGATGTAAGTTAACGTCCCTATTGAACTACAGCAGTGGATCATACCATATAAACCTTATTAAAACCTTTACTTTTATGATATTTACGAAATCTAAAAGAAAACCTTATAAATGCATATAGCATTATCCACTGGCTATCAGGATAAGAACAGCTAGTAATAGATCAGCTGAACGTAAGACTGTTTAAAGTAATTTTCGGGTTTTGGTCTCACTTTATCAGTTCTTCATCCAGTTATTGTAGATCTTCTATTTAGCTGTTTGCCTTCATCCATTTAACAATTAAGACAAATAAGAGCAAATTAAGCTGGAAAAGAATGTTTCTGTACGTTTTGCTGGTATAGAGACTGCATCAGGCAAAAGAAACTCCAAGAAGATGGAGGAGAAAGCAAGTGCTAGAAAGAGGAAGTAAGAGAAAGAGGTACAAAGTGGACTTAACCAGGTTGGGCTTGTAAAACATCAACTATTTTAATTGAAATCATTGTTAATCATTACTATTTCCATCCCAAGGGGGAAAAAAATTACACAGGAAATGTTTTTTGGAGGGACAGGGGAAGAGATTTAAATAAATTACATGCTAATGTATCTTCTTTTTAGTCCTTTTCTAAAGAGCTGCTTGGTTTTCAGCTTCATAAGTTGACATTTTTTCCTTATTACAGTCAAGTAAAATTAAGAAGGGAAGCAAAGGAGACTGCACTGTACTTAAGCCTACACTGATGGCAGCTGTGCCTGTAAGTATGCAGAACCAGATACGTTTAGCCAAAAAAAATGCTCTATATCTTGTTCATGCTAGAAAAATCAATTTACTAACACTCTTTTCTCTTCATGTGTAAGTAACTGTCACTAATAGGAAAAAGGCAGAATATAGAAATTCCAGTTGCTGTTGCTTGAACCAAGTACTGAAGCCGCAGATGAGCACAAGAATATATGGATGCTTTTTTGATCCAAAACTGCAAATGTGTTCTAATAGTTCCCAGTGATGTTTTACTGGGCTGCTGATACAGCAGTAGGATACACAGAGTCTTTGACATTCAGCGTCTGAAACTTCATTTTGCGCAGGGAGAAAGCAGGGAGGCTTTGGCCAAGATGGACACTTGAAGATATGGGCATTTGGCTGTTACAGAACGTAGGGAGTTCAGCTGTTCAGCTGCCAGAGTTGTTGGGGTGCTCAAGCTCAGTGGCTTGTCTCCAAGATGACACTTAGACTAAGTCTCTCTTAGCCTTTCCTTTTATAAGAAAAAATGGTTCAGGAGCCTATCATTCCTATTGCTTCTGTAGCTCACATTGGTCTTTGGGTGACCAGGCTGCTGCGTTCTACAAGTGCTATCTGAAAAACAGACAAATGTTGGTCAATAGAGAAGACATCTTCAGAACAAGGGCTGAAAAGTATTTTAAAACCAAATCTAAGGTCTAGAAAACCATTTGTAGACATGTGAGGGGTACTATGAATTTCTGCAGTGTGCCTGAAGGCCCGCGATGGTGACTCAATTCCTTGCCCTTATGAGTTTGCCCAGTTGGTGGCAGGACTATGAATTTCTGCAGTGTGCCTGAAGGCCTGCGATGGTGACTCAATTCCTTGCCCTTGACTTATGAGTTTGCCCAATTCGTGGCAGATTTTCTAACAGAAGGTATGTACAGCACGAGGGCTCCTCCTCCCTAGTGATACTGGTGCAAGCAGAAAAAAGTGAATGCAGAAAAGTAAAACTAAGTCACCAAAAATACATTAGAAAATTAGTATTTCATTCCACCCATTTCAAATAGCTCCAAGGTGCAATGGTCTATAAACTGACTAATTAATCACACATTAAAAGCATTACAGTTAGGCATTGCCTAGCCAATGATGCAGACATTTTCACTTTCACTGCATTATCCGTTCTAAAGGAAGAATAGGGCTTTCTTTTATTTTTAACATGGAATTTTACTTATATGTGCTAGTCTATTCTACATGGTAATTTTCCTTGCTTTTTTTTAAACACTTTATAGGAAATAATGGACAGAATTTATAAAAATGTTATGAGTAAAGTGCAAGAGATGAACTATATTCAGAGAACTCTGTTCAAGATAGGCTACGACTACAAACTGGAACAAATCAAGCGGGGGTATGATGCACCTCTGTGTAATGTGTAAGTATAAGTCATGGTCCTAGTGTACCTTTTTCCTTGAGATTTGTTAAGAGAGTCTAAAAGAATAATCATTTAAGCTATCAGACATCAGACTGTTCTAACCCAACATGCAAATATCATCTAATGACTAACTGAAATAATCCAAGTTCTTACTGGAAACGGATAAGATATTTAATGGTAGGAATGATTAATCTTCAAAACAGATGAGTAGTTAGTTTTCATTGGATTGCTTTTTTCTCTGGTAAGGAAATTGGAATGTTTGCTTAGTGAAGTTACAGGAATTTTGCCATCTTCAAGTGTTGCGCAAGAGGTAACATTTTTGAGTATCCCTGCTGTTCACTAAAGTCTGTGAGTGAAGAAGTCGATTTCTAAGGTTTTCCAGATAGGAAGGAAGAAGAACATTTGTGTCTTTCTTTTTATAAAAGCAAGTTGAGTGAATGATTTTTAATGTTTTTTTCTTTCTTTCAAGACTATTGTTTAAAAAAGTAAAGGCCCTCCTGGGAGGGAATGTCCGTATGATGCTTTCTGGAGGAGCACCACTCTCCCCTCAAACACAGAGATTCATGAACATCTGTTTTTGCTGTCCTGTTGGTCAAGGCTACGGACTAACAGAAACATGTGGAGCTGGAACAATTACAGAAGGTACTTTAAATGCTTCTGGAAATATGTCATTTAAGAAACAGATACGTATGAGGGTTTGGTGGGATTTTTGGAAAGTCAAAATAGCAATGAAGTAACTTGAAGCTACTGCTTTATTTATGGTTTGAGTTTACAGAGATTTTTGTCACTTAAAGTATATTCTTCCTTGTTTTTTCCCTAAGCTGCTGATTACAGCACCGGCAGAGTTGGAGCTCCTCTTATTTGTTGTGAAATAAAATTGAGAGACTGGCAAGAAGGTGAGAGTATTAAATGTTTTGATTTCAGAGTAACTAATTTAACCATTGCTTAGCTGGTTTCTTTTTCTATCTGCTTAGTGAGGTGCAGCACATGAAGTAATTGTTCTTTATCTTTTATAGTAGTCATCAATTTCTGTGCATTAACTTAAAAATTTCTAAGTATTTTCTTAGCAGTGGAATGAATATATGTTAAAGATAATTGTGTGGGGATTTTCTTGATTTCAGGGGGCTACACGAATAAAGACAAGCCTAATCCGAGAGGAGAAATTATAATTGGTGGACCTAATGTCTCAATGGGATATTTTAAAAATGAAGAGAAGACAACAGAAGAGTTCTGCATTGATGAGAATGGTCAGAGATGGTTCTGTACAGGAGACATAGGGGAATTTCATCCGGATGGGTGTCTGCAGATCATAGGTTGGCCTCAATTTTTGATATGTTAATCTACTACAAGACCTTGACTAACTGTAATTATAAGCATGCTATTAATCCCGTTGGCTTTGCCAGGGCTAATCTACTTAAGGTTACCTGCTTGCAGAATCACAGTGTAAAACGTGTTCCCCAAAGTCCTCGCAGCTGTAGAAAACTTCTGGAAGTGATGCTGTTTCCTGTGACAATATCACTATCTAAATTTAGCACAAGAACTTTAAAGAATAAATGTAAGATTAAAGCTTTGTAATTAATACCAAAAATTAAGATCAGAGTCCCCATCACTTTCATACAAGTTGTGTGACAAGAAGTGTAGTGCTATATAAACTTTTTTGCAGAAACCTTTATAAAGTTGGCAGAATATATACATTCTATTAGCTGCTTAATATATTAATGATATGCTTTAATTCACATTTATTAAGTCTTGCATAGCATTGCACAAAATACATATATAGTGGCTTTGCAAATGAAATGAAAAAGTTTAAATGGAACAAGTTTGTTTCCCCCCCCAATTCCTAGATCGTAAGAAAGACTTGGTGAAGCTACAAGCAGGAGAGTACGTATCGCTGGGCAAGGTAGAGGCAGCGCTGAAGAACTGCCCATTGATTGACAATATCTGTGCTTATGCCAAAAGGTAAGGAACACCATTTAGGGTAAACATGAAATATAGGTTCTGACCCACTTCTCTGATGATATACTATAGTTTTCCACAGTTCCCATTGAACAAACCCCCAACCAGAGTGCAAGTTATAAACAGTGTCTCTGAAATAGCACAGGTGTCCAGGTTCCCTAAAATCTGAAGAAATGACCTATGTTTTTCTGTTGGCGTTTCTCCTACCCCAATACACTCCAGATCCATCCCATCCCTACCCCAAACAGATACTGTACTATTTAGCATGTCTTTCAGCTTCCTGTCAGAACACCAGAGAATTCAATCTGGAGACACTGCACCTGATCCAAAGCTTTCCACTGGATTTTAGAAATAGTCCCAGTCTCTCCTCTCCCCTCAATTAAACACGCTACGAGAAGGGAAACTAAAGAGAACAAGCTAAACGAGGGTGTAGCTGGGAAGCTAAACTGAGATGTGCCACTCGTAAAATTATAGCAAAGCACAACAGTGATCAAACCTAACATGGAAAACCAACTTAGAGTACATTCAGTACGGCAGCAGTTGTGAAGGTTTAATGTACAAGGATTCTGTATGGGAGAATACAGACAGTTCAGAAAGCACTGTGGGTCTGTATCTAACACCAAGTAGCCATTCACCCACATGGAATTTGATCTTTTTCCATTCACCCAGATGTTTTGATCTTTTTTCCTTGCAATCCTGGTGCAGTGACCAGTCCTACGTGATCAGTTTTGTGGTCCCCAATCAGAAGAAGCTGACGGCATTAGCTGAGCAGAAGGGCATCAGTGGGACCTGGGTGGATATTTGTAACAATCCTACGATGGAAGCTGAAATACTGCGAGAGATTAAAGAAGTGGCAAACAAGAGTAAGTAAAGCAGCACGGTGTGGTACTAATCTTGTGGTGCTTATCCAGCAAAAATGTTCAGTTACCCTCACTAATTGCTCTTCCTTCTTCCTGTTGCCCTTGTATCTGCCAAAACTTAATAGCTTAATCGGAGGCAAAGACCACATCAAATTGTTGCCTATTATCCCAGGAATTTACATACTTTTTGGTCATGGTAGCTACTTGATGGTTTTTTTATTTTCAAAAAAACCCAACCAAACCCTGAGATTGTTTTCAGCTAAATTCTAGAGACAGGTTGCTTGTGTAATACAGCTAAAACGAGGACCAAAAGAGCTGTCAATTTTTAAGTCAAGTCACAAAACATTTGCTGGTAAGAAAATTAGTTAAATAAGAGACTTCAAAGCTTTTTTCCCCCATGGAACTTTTGTCCCCTACAGCTTTGAACAACCATGATCCTTGTGGTTGTAATGGCTAAAAACCTGCTACGCCTTGCTGTGGTACTGAATGATCAAAAGCCTCATCAATCCTTTATGGAGTCAAAAAATGAACAAACTGGGGGAAAAACATCTCTAAAGCACTTGGCACTTCATACAAAGAAGCAGCAAAATTGGACTTAAGCACAGACTAAGCATTGCCTTTAGAGACCAGAATCTGCTTTTTGAAACTGAGAAAACAAGAACAAAAGGCAGTACTAAGTCTTGCCTTTAAAAAAAATAATTCAATCTGTAGGTTCAGAATTGGGATTAAACACTTTAATCTGTGTTTTTGTATCATGAACTTGGCAAATTACTATCCGTATAGCTTTGTTTATTCCAAAATATTTGCTTACACATTCTTTCTACCTACTAGACAGGAATCTACCATTAAGATCCAAGTAGCTTATTTGAAACTTTTTTCCAAAACTAGCTTAAAAGATACCATTCTCATTTTTAGCAGAGGATAAAGCACCTTCATCATGAGCAGGCATATATCTAAATAAGATGAACAGTACACTGTGATAGCAGTTTGGGGTTGGAGAGACAGAGGAGCTCCTGGGGAGAGCCTGACTGCCAGAGATCCAACTGTCTTACGTTTGCTGCCACCCAGAGGCTGTGCTGCCACCAGTTGGCCTTCAGATTCAGCTACAAACCTCTGCCTGTGGGATCCTCAAGCCAGGACCTGACAGGAGAGTCCAAGTATCACACACACACAGCAGCTCCTGCCCTGCTCCCCAAAACACCGACCGGGAGGAGCCCTGACCCCTCTCTGGCCCGTTGCTGGGGGAAGGGACAGCAGCAGCTTTGGCTGCAGCCAGGCTGTGTGTGTGCCGAGCTCTGCTTCCAGCTGGAGGGAACATAAGTGATGAATGTAACAAAAGTACAGAGAAGTCCCTTTATTTTGAATTCTAAACAAACTCTTAGGAAGAAAAAACTTGGGAAAGAAACTTTCAACCTTGGAAAGTATAGAAGCACTTCATTATAATTTAAACATGAAGCACATCTGACTAGTCTTAGTTAATCTAGTTAATTACTACATTCCTGTAATACAGATACAGCTCTAGAGTTCAGTGCATCCTCTTGTGACAGCAGTCTCAGGTCTTCAGGCTACACGCTCATTTGTTGTGAGCTTTAGACTGTACACGGTCACCTCCCACACACGCTGTGAGCACCGTGTGTTACTGGAACACCTGCACACCAACCAGGAACACCTGCACACTAACCAGGAACACCTGCACACTAACCAGGAACACCTGCACACCAACCAGCATTCTGCAGCCAGACAAGATCAGATTTGTGGCCCTTCTGTAAGGTTGGCTCATTAAGGAGGACACCATATTATACAAGCTCCAGGATGCTCATCTCACATTTCTGTAGGTAGTGTGAATTAGTAATTCCTTTGGCTGTACAATCACAGTCATGCTTTTGTTTCTTCTCGTCCCTGCAGTGAAATTAGAAAGGTTTGAAATTCCCATCAAAGTACGGTTAAGCCCTGAACCATGGACCCCGGAGACTGGGTTAGTGACAGATGCTTTCAAGCTGAAAAGGAAAGAACTGAAAAACCATTACCTCAACGACATCGAAAGAATGTACGGAGGCAAATAAACAAGCTGTGTTGACCAGACAGTTGTGCAGATGGTTCCTTCTCATGCCTTGGTTTTGGATGTCTGTGTATGCTGTAGATATCACACATTCAGAAAATATACCAAATGGGTGAATGTTTCTGTAATCTCTATTGAGTACAACAGAGAATATCTTAGACTCCAAATTCTTAATTATTAGCAGATTAGACACTGATGGTCTTCATAGAGTTTCATGTGATCATCTCCAGTTTTGAGACAGACATCATAATGTGAAGCAGTATGACCAGGTAATTTTGTTATTACTGTGTCTCTAGCACATTTCAGACTCTTGCAACTTCAATTCATTCTGAAGCCTGGCCTATATTTTAAAGAGAAAAATTAATGTAACTATGATTATTCTTCTGTCATAGTAAGATACTTGGGGGGGGGGGGGGGG